TTTGAACCTCTCTCTGTCCAGAAACTTTTCATATCTACTGAAGCGAAAGGACCACCCTCATCCATCACTACCTTCTTAGGTGTGCCCCAAGGCAACACTTGTTTTTGAACAAACTCTAATACCCCTTTAGTGTTCTTCTCTTCCAACGTGTAAGGCCGACACCACACCGTCCTCAAAAAATGATTTATGGTCACTACTATACCTTCAAAACCGTGAACTGTCCTTGGCAAGGTCAAATGATTTATGCCTATACACACTGCAACCCCTTTCGGCCTCTCAGGCTGTATTAACGACCCTGTAGTCCCACAAAGCCCCTCAACTTGTTGACACGCAACACTTACTCTCCATACTTAGCTTTCAGGAATTCCCGTATCCTATCTACCCCAGCATACGCTAAAGTCTGATGTACCAGCGTAATAACGTACTCTTACAAAGGTTGAACAAGTTCTGACCATACACTTAGACCAATACACTAGAGCTGTTTGCTAGCCATTACATCCGGATCCCACATCTTAGTAATACCTCTCTTCATCACTGCAGTAACCTGCTGTTGGAAAAACCCCACACTAACCGGGAAGTCGGCACTGACCTTGTTATCAAGACTCTCCTCTAACACTCGCATCTTCTCTTTAACCACCGCCAGCCGGACCCTCCTGTCTTCCACACTCTTGCAGGCTTTATCAAATGACAAATCCACATCTTCATCAATCTCTGGCAGACCCATTTTTGCACATGCAGCGAAGAACTTAACACCCTCTACCGACACAGGCACTATAATAGGATCAAACCACCACGTCATACGACTAAGTCCATCCGTAACTTTGTTCTTTGGCCCTTCCAGGTACCGTAGATCCATATCAATCAATCGTACATATATAACATTCCTGTACCGTCTCTTACCCACTGGATCCGACGTGAACTCTACCTGCTGAACCACACCAATTAAAGGCTGATGATCCATCTCTACTATAAGCATCCCGTACAATCTCCGAAACAAACCCGCGAACTTCAAAAACCCATATGCTAGCGCTATCAATTCTCTATCTGTCGGAGACAAATTGGCATGGAAATTTATCTTGGAGCTCGCAAAGCCCACAGGAAGCCATTCTCCATCTCGTCTCGCACATAAACAAACACCTATACCCGAATCCGCCGCATCGGTCTGCAACCTAAGTTGCTACTCTTGTCTAGGTTCTACCAAGACTTTCTTCGCCTGCAAAATCTTCCGAGCCGACTGAAAAGCCTTCTCCTGCTCAGGACCCCACTGGAACCGTATCTTCTTCTTAGTCAAATCACTAATCGGAGCCAACACATTTGAGAAATTCGGAATGTATCTAGCCCACCATCCAAAACACTGATACCACGATCTAACTTCGGCCTTGGTTTCAGGCCTAGTCATATCTAATAACGCCTGAAGCTTTACTTCACTTATCATCGAACCCTTATCTGTAACCTCTCGACCCATCACGACTATAGGATCTTCTCAATACGCGAAATTACTTTTTGACAGCCGCAACTGTATCACTTTCGCCTCAAAGCGCCTGATCATCTCCACAATACCATCCCAATGCTCAGCTGAATCATCCGAACCTAACGCGGTATCATCATTGTACGTCTTAATTTCATTAATTCTATCCAATGTCTTATCCATTAGTTGTTGGAACACAAATGATGCTTCCTTCAAACCAAACGGCATCCCAATAAATTGGAATCTCTCTCCCCAGGGCGTCAAAAATGCAGTACCCCTCGACTATCAGGCTCTATCATTAACTGCCCAAAACCATTTCCAGCATCCACATTGGTTCTCCACTTGCGCCCCTTAACTGTTGCCGAAAATTCATCCTCTGTTGGTATTACCCGAATTTAGCTGATAATTCGTACGCATATAATTTATGCACATCCTCCAATCCTTGAGTTCCTCATAACTATCTTGCAGCCTCTCTATCAGCCCAGTTTCAAGCAATAGTTGCACCTTCTTCTTCATCACTTCTATAAGTCGCACATCTTTCTCCGCATATACTTATCTCAAAGGCGTCTCTCCTTCTTTGATCTGAAGCTTAAGCATCCAATCCTTCACAAACTTTGATCTCTTGTCATTGTATGCCACCCTCCTAATAGCCGCCACCTACTCTGCCAATTCTTTCATAGACTTCCCCAGTTTTTCAGCTAACAGTTCCAAGCCACTCGTATCGAACATTAGATAATTGTCCTCACCCCCAGATCGATCAATTTCATAGCCTGAATCATAACCCCCATCATCTTGGATATTATCAAATGGTGTTACCTGTTCTGCTCGCTGATATAATAACGGCGCCGCCACATGCTGAATACAATCTAACACCGGCTCAGACGCCTCTTTGTTCAGCCAGGTCTTAAGGTCTGATGACTTCTCTCTCACCACCTCAACCGGAAACAATGTATACTTAGTCACCCCTTGCCTAGTGAGTACTGCCCCAGTTAATCCATACCCATTCAATTCACGTCTACCTAACAACATACCCACATTGTGTGGAATCCAATCCATAAGCCACATATCGAACTAAGCCCTCCTTTCTCCTACTTAAGTAGGCAAAACAACCTCAACATCTCGCACCTTGTATTCCACATAAAGCGGAGCACCAAATCCCGTAGCCCACTCTCCACACAAATCATACTGAGCAACCAGCCTTAGACGCTCTGCCAAACCCTTAGAAATCATCGACATATCGGCGCCTTAATCAACAAACATATCGACATAACACTGTTCACTCTCCACATAAGTACAGATCAACGGTTGGCCTGGTCCTTCTTAACTAGCCGCCGCCGCATGTCACAATTCAGGTGTCCCATCTGTACTCATACGCACCTCCCCAGACGCTGCTGCCCATATATTACCCCCGGATCGTGTTGTAGGACAGAATCTCGCAATATGATCTCTCTTGCTACACGTATGACACACCACGTCTTTCAACACAGGACACTCTTTCATATAGTGACCATCCTGCTTGCAATATAAGCACGCCCCTCTCAGACCTGTCACCCCTGAAACCCTGGACTCCTGTCTAGCTGCTGCTGCTTGCATCTGTCCTGCTCTCGCGGCTACCCTCGCCTGATGTCTCCGGCCCGCTTGTTCCCTCTCTTCTTGACGCACTATGTCGTCTTCTCTCATCTCAGACAATTGCTCCAGCACCTGCCTTAACCCTCCTGCCTCAAAAATCCGATTTGCGACTCGCAAATAAGGCTTTCAACAGACTTATACACCGCACAGTCAATTCTTTTAAACCCTCCATCATTACATCCTTAGAGCTCACATTATTTGCCAATTTAAGCAGCGTTTCCACATAGTCATCATCCCTCAGCATAGGAACCATCCAGCGTGCCCCATGCTGATTCGCTTTCTTAGCATTCCTACGAATCACCTTGCACAAATCATCATACTCACGCCGTTTCTGCCTAGCCTCTATCTTCAACTTAGCTGCTGTCCTTGGCTTGTCTGATACATCAGCCTTCTTCCCTACTGTAGCAACCTTCACTGCAGGCACTCCTTTCTTCTTCTTAACATCCTCATCCTCACTGTCGCTACTTCCGCTGTTATCACTGATGTCACTGTCCTTAGCGACTTCCTCCTCAGTCTCACTTTCGCTCTGTTCGTCCTCAGAAGGCACCTCAGTAAATGTATCCCGTTCTGGGAGCACTTTCTTTGCTTCAGCTTTCGCCGCAACATGCCGAGCACCATAGGGATAATATTAATTATTTTAAAGGAGTTAAGTTATAAATAATAATAAATCTCACGAAGATTCTCAATAACTTTTTCAGGCTTGGATCCCCACCCTCCTATTGCCTTCACAAAATCCGCCTGGGTTCCACTCACTTCAAATGGGTCCTTAAACGCTTGATACAATGCTGCAGCCGCGATGTACATATCCTTCATCTCAATAACAGTCTTGCTAATATAGCCCTCTAGTTCCGACTTCGTCTCCGGTGTAACCTCCTTCAAAAGAGCCATCGCTGGGCGGGACCCTCCTTTCTTCGCCTCGAGCTCATAAGTCGATCCATAAGTGTCGTCATCGGCTTCCCTCTCACATATCTCCAGAGAGGTTGCCCAGTCCCAGCTGCAATATCCTTCTCGTAAACCATTTTCCACTAACGTTTATTTGTAATCTTAGATCGACTCAAAACACAATGTAACGGTGAACCTAGTTTTATTTCCTCGATAGTTGAATAAACGTCTACCTTAGTAGAATGAACGTCTGGAATGAACTAAACCACGTATTTATACTATCTCCGAAGGATTTCCTTGAGAATCCTGCCGCCAATCAAATCGTGTATCTACTCAATTTCGAGCCTACAAGTCTATTCAACATATATCGTTATCTGCCAACCTCCAGCTCATATTACCCCGCACTTCTGTTCGCAAAGCACCAATCATACACCAACCTCCTCTTCTTTCGAGCCTGCGCGGCCGTTCGTCAACAAACCGCACAATACAATTTAGAACTTTTCAAACTTATTAGTTTTCACACTTATAAGTTATCGCCCACACTTAGAAGTTCTCGCACTCCTATTAACGCCCAGGAACATTACCGAACAGTTCGGTACTTACAACACCAACATTGTTTTAAATCGGAGGTAACATGCTTGACATTACAGAGTTGTTCCAAGTTGAGCAGGCAAGATCTGTCAATTGCATGAAGAAGGAGGGCTTGCATAAATAATCTGAAATATGTCATTCAAATTGACAAATACACTCGAAGCCTTCAAGTGGAAGTCATCCCTGTCGGAACTCTATATCTTAAGGATTAATATAAACACAGTGTACATGTGACAACATTGAACAGATTACACACAACAGCACTAGCGAACAATCAACAATATGTCAGCTATCAGCCGTTCCCTTGCACTTGCCGTCGCAAGTCTTACAGTCCTCGACTTTCAAGTATGTGCCAGCAGCCACAAGAACAGTGTTCGCTACGACGACCCTATTGCTTGCAAAGAGGCTTATATTGATTGCGATCGCCACCATGAGCTCATTACACGGGAAAAATGCTGTGGCAAGGGGGACTACTGTGAGTCATGGGTTCCTGAATGTAGCAAACGCTCATGCTGTGGAAAGAAGCATTACGACGAACCCAAAAAATGCAGAGATGCGGACGTTTACAGCGGTCACGGATTTGAGTTATTGGACTGTTAGAAGTGCTGTGCAAAGGGATATGACTGCCAACCGGGGCTACCTGACCGTAATTCACACACTTGTTGTGAGAAGCGCAAACCATCGGGCCCACACGATCCTACAGGTAATTACTATAAGTGTGGAGATATATCATCTGACAAGTGCAAACATGGTTACAAGTACGACGCTGAATGCTGCCGGTACACTAACAAATGTGGTCACTATGCTTCAATCAAATGTGGTACTTCTCATTGCTGCAAGTAAGTTCAGGCTATAGTGGCAATACATACAGAAGCGCCTGCTGCCTATAGTATTGTAATGTATAGGAAATTAGATACAATAAAGAAATATTCACTTTGTACAATGTTCCTACGGGCTGATTGGCAATTCAACGCGAAAACTGAATAAAAACCGCTTCTGAACATAGTCGTATTGTTGCTCACGATCATCTTTAATATCATACATCGCGTGCGTATTAAAGTGACATATATTCGAAATTTCTTCAATGGTTAGGTAAAATGTGCCATCCAGTGTATTTGTGCAACAGTTCCTCACTTGATATTTGGTGATGATGGTTGTTAGGGTCATGGACTTACATTGCAGTAGGGGCATTCTCACGTGCACCCTTTAATTAACTACAATGCCTTACTTGTTATTTGGTGACGATGGTTGCTAAGGTTATGGACTTCCATTGCAGTAGGTATATTCTCGTGCACCCTTTATTTAACTACAATGCCCTAATTGTGATTTGGTGATGATGGTTGTAAGGGTTACAGACTTCCATTGCAGTAGTAGGTACATTCTCACGTGAACCCTTTATTTAACTACAAAGCTTTATTTGTTATTTGGTGATAGTGGTTGTAAGGGTTATTGACTTCCATTGCAGTAGGGGCATTCTCACGTGCAGCCTACATTTGGATACAATGCCTTACTTGCTATTTGGTGATGATGGTTGTTAGGGTTACGGACTTCCATTGCAGTAGGGGCATTTTCACGTGCAGTCTGCATTTGGATACAATGCCTTACTTGCTATTTGGCGACGATAGTTGTTAGAGTTACGTCTTCCATCGCCATAGGTATACATTCTCACATGCACCCTATATCTGGATATTATTCCTCACTTGATATTTGGTTGAAATGATGTCTATGCGCGCTTCCGCACACGGTCCGTGCATTCGTTTCTCGTGAACAGTTCGGGATATGTCGAGCTACAACGAGACCCCCAGACTCACTAACGGGTGCGTGGAAGTCAATTACGCATGAAAAGCATAGTGCACCACACTACAACGTCGTTCTCGTCTCTGTGCGAGCTATATACTATACAGCTGCAGAGATTGTGCACGTGCGAATCCATCTTTAATCCACGATAAAGGGCAAATCATTCATTCCAGGTATACGGCAATCCATGTATTCTACCTACCCACTCCCGCATGCCTGCCAAGCGACAGAGAACCAGTGACGCGTGTCTATCTACCAGCACAAATACAAGCGCACTGTAGGGCTGCCAGAGTTGCATACGCACTCACGCACACACGCGGACCACGGGACTGTGTAAGTCGATGCGTTAACACGCATAGAAGGTGACATGGGGAAGGATCCTTAGAACCAGCTACACGCACCTACAGACACAGATCCATCTCCCTACACAGTAGTGCCCATGCCTACCAGTCTGCTGTGTCACATGCACAATAAACCCACACGAGAGTGACCCCCCAATTGGAACGATATACAATACATTCTCCGCTGACTACGACCACTCGGGACACAGATCACAGTGTCGCTGCCGCGCCAACCCAACAACACGCCCCTGTGCTAAAACACGGCACATGCCACCAATCCACTCACGGTAGAGTATGAAGGCAATACAGGGCACGCTACGCTTAAATCGCTGCACATGCACTCTCTGGGCCAAACTGTAGAATTCATTCCCGGCGCACCCACGCTCAATCCGTCATGCTAAACATCAGTGCCACGTGGGAAATGGCGTGCGAATGACGCGCTAGCCTAACAACAGCCCCGCAATTAGGCACAACACAGCCCAGCCATGCATCTCATCTGCGCTCTACCACCACTACTCAGCTACACATAGCCACAGCGTGCCGCTTACACTCCCTCGTGTAGCCCTATGCCTGTGCTTAAAGGTCGGGCTTCGCCGCCACAGGCATACTATCGTCGCTGTCGTCATCCTCATCGCTCTCCTGCTCCTGCACCACAATCTCAGGCTGAGGGTGTCCAGGGCCCACGTGCACCGTCTCGGTGTGGGGCATCTCCCCAACCGCACTAGCCGCTCGCGAGACATCCACCGATCCACTCGCAACCTCTCCGCGTGTCGCAGCCACCGCAGCTTCCTGCACACGCACACCCGTGGGATCGTCCACGTCCATGTGCACGCTGTGCTCTGCACGCACCTGCTGTTCACCTGATGCTTGCTCATCCGCCACGCTGACTTGCGTAGCTGGCGCGTCTCCTGCGTGTGGGTCGCCATCACTTGTACCTTCCCTGCCCTCCTCGGCTATCCGTACGTGCTCAGCATGGTCACGTTCCTTATTATCCTGCTCTGTCCGTGCTTGCTCATCACGTTCCCGCTGCTTTGGCTCTGCACTTATCCTCGCCTGTTCATTGGCTATCCTGGCACGGGCCTGCGTCTCTCTCAGCGCTGCAGCCACGCGTGCCTGTGCATACGCTGCCATTTCTGCGGCATCGCCGCTCAATCCAACATTCTCGACAGCCCCATTAGCCTGTGCATCATCTGAGGTGGTGGTAGTAGCAATAGCAGTAGTAGTGGTGGTGGGTGCTTCTGCTGCCACTGGACTGCTGCTCTGCACCTCCGCTGTCTGCGCTGCGCTCGGCGTGTTGCTGTCGTCAGCGTGTCCATCCACGCTCTTTTCAGCGTGGCCCTCCTGTTGCGCATGTGCACCCCCCTTGGTTTGCTCGCGTGGCTGTTGGTGCTCGTGCCCATCTCCATATTTAGCACTCACCACCTGTACCTCTGTTTTCTCAACCGCGACGCCGTGCGCGTCGGTGTGTAGCTGTGTGTGTGAATTGTCCTGGCCGTGCGCGTGCTCGTAGACCACGTCTCCTTGTTCGGGTGCACCATTGTATGCGTGAGCGTCTGCATTATCCGGTACAAAACCGTCTTCGTGAGATTGGTCGTATGCATACCCATCCCCTTCTGCAAACTCCTCCGCAGCGGGCGCTTCATGCATCAGTGACTCCCGATAGGCGCGATATTGCTCTTCCTGTCCCGATATGAAAAACGGGATGTTGTCGATGTGGTTGATCCCGTTCTCCACGTGCAAACGCTGGTGAGGCGCCGTATCCACGCCATACTCAGCAAACAGCAACCGCAAACGTTCCTGCTCCCTATTATACGCTTCCGCCCGTTCATCTTCAACCGAAACGCTCAGTACATTTGCCGACGGATCACTATGGAGTGCCTGTGCGCGCGCGTCTGCATCACTGTCCGGTGCTTGATCGTTCCCTTGCGCTTGTTGTGCATATACGTCCTGTGGTTGTTGCGTGTTGTTGTGTGGTGCGTGTGCATCGCTTTGCGCACTCAGCGCAGTCATGAGCGGCGGCTGGGACATCCCCTTGCCATTGACCCGCATACGTTTGGTCGTGTGTGGGGAGGTGGTCGTGGTACTGGTAGTGGCTGTGCTGTGGGCCGGTGAGGTAGTCTGTCGGTTCAGATCCTCGCGCATAAACACATCCTCCACGTCTGTAACGTGCAGCTCTCTCTTACGCACCCCAGATAAACACGGCTTGGTCTGCACCCCGTCACCCAACGAAGCACGCCTGCGCGATCCCTGACTACCACTCTTCCCACTTTCACGCCCACGCTCGCTGTCTCGCTGTGGTGTGCCGTCGTCGTCATCGTCCAGCACAATCTTCACAGGCTCGGGCTGCTTGATAGCACGGTACGCCTTCAGCACCTCACCCGTGTCCACGTCAATGCAATCGACGATCTGCTCCTTGACCATCTTCTTCTCCAGCTTTTCCCTCGGAATATCTTTCTGCAGCAGCCCGGGTTTCGTGGCCGTTGCGTTCATGCCCTTCTTCGCAATCTCCGCGGTCATGGGCTCGTAGTTGCCATCCAGGATCATCTTGTTCACCATCCACCACTGCTCACGAATGTGGATGGTCAGCGTCTGGTCGGGCAGGTTGTGCTTGTGGCTGGTGTTGTACACGTGCCCCGCAAACTTCTCCTCGCGCTCAATCACCGCACCCTTGCCCACGCCCATCGCCAGACCCTTCTTCATAAACTTCTCCTCGTTGGGACGTCGGCGGTATGTGCCCGGGGTGTACGCTCCAGGCGCCACGTGGCGAGCCTTCCCTTTTTTTGCCTGTGTAAACTCCAGCATAATAGTACCCCACCCATCCGAGTTGGCCCGGCCCTGGGTGGTGTTCTCCCGCTTATCCACCGGCTCGTCAGAGATCTTGCGGAACTTAAACTGCGTGACCTTGGTCTTGCGTCCCTTCTGTTCCTGTACACGGCCCTCATATATACAGTCGTACTCGGTACAGACCGAGATCAGGTCGCCCATGGTGTTGCAGGCTTTGCCGTCGATATTTAGGTAGCAGATGATCTCTGAGGTGTCCCGCGTATGCTTGTCCAGCCCCAGACAGACAGCGCGTGAGTCTTCGCCATGTAATGGGGTCACACGCACCTGGAAGCATTGTCCTTCTGTCGCCTTCACATACCAGCCTGCTGTGATGTATATGTACATGTGCGTGCGATGTATATGTCAATTGCGTGTGGTGAAGATGCATGATGGGTGGGTATAATGTAATGTGCTTCAAAACTAATGAAAACGAATAAAGACAAACGAATTGAAACGAATAGAGACAAACGAAATAAAATGAATAAAGACAAATACTAGAGAATATAAAACGCATCACACTAAAGTAACTTCAACAGATACTACCTGTGACTATTCAGCATATCACAACAGAGAATTCACACATATTACAGCAGAAACTATTAAACACATCACACAACTAAATATATACATTTATACATACATACATACATAAATATAGACATAGATACATACATGCATATACTTATATATATAATACATCCCACCAGAAAATAGTAAACATATTTTACAATATACACACACACACACACACACACACATATATATATATATATATGTATATATATATATGTGTGTGTGCATATATAAATATATATATATATATATAAGTATGCGTGTATATATATAACATATATAGATCAATATATATATATATATATATATGCATATTTAAAAATGTATATGTATATGTCAATGTATATGTATATGTATATTAATATATATATATATAGTGTCTATTGAACACACCACACAAGAAACTATTCAACACATCAAACAGGAGACTATACAACACATCACACCAGAGACTTTTAAACATATCACACCAGCGATTACGCACACGCTGGTGTAGTCATATACCTTTGAGATCAGAAACGCCTAAAGATTTGCGGTGCTCCACGGCTGAAGGCGAGACATAGTACAGTGGCAACGGCGTGGGTTTCTGACGCTGATTTCTCAGTTCTGGATCGTTCGCGTCGGGAACAGCGTACAAGCCCATAGCATATCCCGACACAGAAGCACGTGCAAACCGTGTGCGATATTGAAGTACATCTCTCATTTTGTCCATTTCTGCAGTAGGAACGAATGCACGCGCGTCTTTGTGGTTCCACTCGTAGAGCGGCCCTTGATACTCATCCTCAGACGACCCGCTGGAAGAGGAGTCTGAATCACTAGACAGTTTGCTGCTTAGCTTTGGCCCAGGCCTACGCTCTCGAGTGCGCGATTGTGTGCACAATCGCGTCGTCATTATCTTATAAGTACAGTATGTTTATTGGCAATAGCACGTGCGTGCATTCATGCAGTTAGGATCGGAAGCGTGTGTATACGGGCTGGTGTGAGTGGCTTCGTGAGCGTATGTATATGTATGTACGTATGTCTGGATGTATGTACGCGTGTATGTATGCAAGAATTTGGACTGTCTTATAGCCATTTAAAAAAAGTCCGTCCTGCCATGGCAAGCTGACCTCATTACGTTTTACATTGTATAACGTATAAAGTCAGATATAAATATTCTACTTTACGCTAAACGTTTAATTTGGGTTGGTCCTGTATGCTTTATATAGGTGGAATATGTGGGGTCTAAAATAAAATATATATTGAGCGGCTACCTTTCTGTGTTGTCCTATGTTTATTCACAATAGGTCAGTCCCTTTCCATCTCATTCCTAACTTATACGTTATGACGTTAATATATCAAAACTTTATACCACTCAAAGTGGTGCGCGGGGTTTTTGGAGTAGAAAAAAGGGCGCCATCTAGAGTATACGTTCTGGCTAAAAGCGTTGGAACAATTTGTAAATACGTTTTCTATTTCTGTAACGTCGGGATTCTCTTCTATTGTTACTGAAGGTGTGGTAACATATTTGCCAGGTCGGATATAACGTATTTGTTTTCAAGAAACGGTTTACACGACTGACAGGAAGAGGCAGCAAAAACGACACCGCAGCGACCGCACTCGATTACTCGAATTTTTAATTACCGGAACACGAATGAGTATAACGGGACATAAACTGAAATGGGCATACAAATTCTGGCGCGTAATGAATGACGAAAAAGTGTCTCTCTCCCTCTCAGTCTCAGGACTCAACCATAGATACGAGAGAAGGCGAAACACTATTTATTTATGTTTTTGCTCTGGAAAGAGAGTCTCGCTCTAGAGAGAGAGTTATAGACTAAATACTATTTAACTAAATATTAAAAAAAAGACAGACTACATACTACTAAATAATAAATCGTGTGGACTGTGGAGTGACAATGTAGTGACTATTTAGTCTCACTCTCTCCTCTCGAACAGTGACGACTGATGAGTCTCGACTATGTATTTAGTACATATGTACCCGGGTAACCCGCCCCCGGGCTGTCCGGCACGGCTGGGCACTGTTGAGTATTGAGTGGTGTTGATTGTGGGGAGTTTATATGATTGTATGGGCAGAAGGAACCCAGCACCGCCTTCAACATAGGCATATTTCCATACGTATCAATAGATTCATAGTACATAGTGATTGATATTGTAGTCTATATATTATAATATTAGAGTATATATGATATATAAATATATAAATATATGTACACGTCTATTTTTACAGACTCTTTTCTACTCTAGTATAGTGAGTGGAGTATATACTACAGCATTCAGACATGCTACAGCGTGTCCTTTGCCCTATATAGTATATACTATTCATCTATTTAAGAATTGCCTAAATACCAATGAAACGATCGGCGATGGATGACGTATGCCGTTGCCTTTTAAAGCACTATTGTTGCTTTGATATACATATCTCAATTAATGCGAAGACGCTATTCGTTCAGTTTTCGTGGCAGGATATATCAACACATGTGGCTATGCTTATATGTTTATTCAGTTGTCCCAATGAATGCTTATAACGTGTGACGTGTGTCACTCGCACCGTAGCAACGTACATTTCTCATTTTTTTCTCGTGACACGCTAGTTTGTCTTCACGGCGGAATATGCAACACATAAGGACATAAGGCTTTCTATATGGCCTTTATATTCATACAGTTGTACTAATGGATGACTTATAATGTACATCATTACTCAAGTTTTGCTCGTGACACGCAAATTAGTCAATACGGTGTGATATGGTCTCATGACCTATGTTATCTATTTCGTAACGGGTACCGATAATTGAGTCATGTCTTGTGCCCTGAGAACTATAAAATAGTCCGCATTGATATTTTTAGCGGCATATAAAAGCTGAGTATTTATTGTTCAAGAATCTGAAAATGCAAATATACCACTCTGTGAGTTTTCTTTCCTAAGTATGACAATGGGGACGACGTACGAATTTGTGCCCTTTCAGACACTGTCTCAATAATTAATGAACTCGATTGACCCATTCATCAAATATCGTCGCTTGCAATATGTGTCTTCAGATGCGGTGGCCGAAGCAAATGTCATATATTGAGAGAGCAATTGTTTGCAATAGTCGATCGATGAAACAATTCCAATACTGCGTGGCTCTTAGCCCATGATATTATCCAAAAAAGCATCATTCGATACTGCTCTCGCTACAATTGCTCGCTGTGGCATAAGTTCGTTATTGTCCAATGTATTCGAAGGTAGCTACGGGGCGCTATGACGAGCAACTATTGCTACATTTGGCGGTCGGAATGGGATATTCCCTACCTATACACTATTGTGGACCGAATGTCAATAAAAGCTTTAAAAAATTGCGGAACACTGCCCGATCTATGCAGAGTGCATTTGTGTTATTTATCCATGGTCCCCTACTCTCTTTACTCTTTAGAGAGATGGTAGTTGAAATACGGCTGATCGAGTGATCGTCCGAAGAACTTTATCGGTGTTTATTAATTTCTAACAATCAAATACGATCAGGATTCACTGATAGGTTTGTTAGTTCAAAAAACAACCTCAAATTGACAGTTGCATACAAACAGGATAGTGGATATCATAGTTAAATATTGCAAGTACAACCCGTCATGTGAGAGTTGGCCAGGTACTCTTGCGGTCCGGTGAAGCACCACATGGCATATCATATATGCAGTGAATACCGATGGCGATAGTTGGGATACAGCTCCATTTGATCAATACTCGACCTGGAAAAAAATTGTGAAATTTGTGTCTGATCGACTAATCGTGATTCGTGGGAGTGAATCGACGCCCGATTTCCATATTAGGCAGGAGCTGTGTATGACTCAGTAGCTTCAACTGTTTTTTAGTGTTCTATGATTTTATTTATCCACAGTTGTCAGGTTTTCTGGAATTGGTATCAGCTTTTGAAATGTCGTAAATTTACAGTCAGATTGCCTGGATTCGGTATCAGCCTTTGAAAAATTGTAAATAAGCTTGAAATGTCGTAAACTATCTTTTATCTGAGTGGTCGGAAATTGGGGGATTGTAAAGGTAAACAATCTTGAACGCATACCCGTATATGTTCAATTTAGAGGGCTATGCCGTATACCATATATGTCTGTTTAATAAATATCGGCTGCGGCAGTCACTAACTTACACACATATTTACACTCGCACACACACACACACACCGCACAATCCCGAATACATTATATACACAATGGCAATCGAAGCTAAAGTCAAGTCCTTCATAGAGGAGACTCTGCCCACTGATCTTAAGAACAAGGCGTGGACGTGGTTAGAAAAGGGCAACCTATGGGAATGTGCCAACATCATTGGCAACTACTACAATGATGACGGCAAGGACTCCCGCGAGGCATGCCGTGCGATAATTGACGACATCCGCGCACACCAGGGTGAGAAGGCTAAGACATCTGAGGTATGGGTTGTGGCATACCTTTATACGACTTCAACGTTGAATTATACCTCTGGCTTTATTCGTTGTACATATTGTCAGTATTCTTGCTTTGGTCGCAATTATTGTCAAGGTTGTCATACGCACATATCCACATGCTATTTCTGCTCCTGATTTACACAGCGCATCAGATTATTCATCATCTGGATAAAACTTTAAGCGGTACACGTCAATTTTTCGTCGTTAAACATTGTTGCGTTGAGCATATAAATACACCGATGAGTTCATTGCAGCAGTATTTGCCATAACCGTCAGATTTTACGTAAAAGAATACCTGGAAATTGACCAAGGAAAGTGTGTACTATGAATGATCCACATAAGGTCATATTCATCACATCCTAAAGTAGTCGTCAGTCAAATGTACTACGGCATACTATCTGTACAACCATAGCCCAAGCATAGCACACAACGAACTGAGTGATAGTACACACAGCACGCACAAATACTAGCCTTTTTCACATAACTACACAGGCCACCACCATGGTAGTGTTTGGAACGTCAGGATGGAGAGGTGTGATTGGTGAGGACTTCACATGTCTCAACGTTGCCAAGACATGTCGTGGTATCATCGAGATGATGAAGACCGACGATTTCCTCAAGGTAACTATATGAGTGTAGTGCTGGTAAGCTGTTAGCTATGTTACGTTGCGTATGGCAAAGTGCACATCTACTACAGCATGAGTATATTTATGTAAAATATTTCGTCTGTAAATACATAGAATAATTTTTCGAATACGAATATACACACGTATATGCATATATGCATATTATATATATATATATATATATATATCTGTGTCTGTCTGTATGCATATACATATAATATATATATATATATATATATGTATATATATATATGTCTGCATTTATATATGTCTGCATTTATATAAATGTTCATATAGGGATTAGCCGTTTGTCTCGATCGAAATATATGCGAATGACTATATACCTGTTAAAGTACAGGTCAATGCTCGTGTGGAGTGGTGTATTTTGCTCAATGGGCACAGGTATATGTATAATACATCTGTACATATTTACAATATATCTGTATTTTTATATGGTATATCAGTATTTATGTATAATATAACTGTATATTTGTATATTTCCTACTTATCCAGTACACACATATTCTATACCACTGCATCCCAACAGCAAAATCACTACACAAGCTTCGAGGAGGTAAAGAGCAATGGTATCCTCGTATTCCGCGACAATCGTTTCATGGGTGATGATTTCATGGACGTTGCGATGCGCGAGCTGGCCGCAGAGGGTATCAAGATATTCTTTGCAGGTGCGTACAAGCGTGCATATATATATATATATATATGTGTGTGTGTGTGCTCATATGTGTGTATCGCACATGGCGTCGACATTGGGCATACCTTACACATCATTTTTATATATTTACACAAATGCACCAGTAGGAACAAATGTCATGCGATAATCTTATTTATGTAACGTAGTTGCTGTACAAATCGGACGTATGCACATTGAGGCGTAATGTTGTTGACTTGTGTATATTTGAGTGCGCCATTCCACGCCACCGTGTCAGCGCTCCCCGACATCTTCGCGTACACACGCGTGCTGTTCAGTATCACATTCACTATTTGACACGCGTGTGTGCATTCTTCTGTTCGCATCTGTACACAAGCGTATTTATCCATCGTTTTATCTTATTCGCATTTGTACAGGTGAGTGCCCTACTGGTGTGGGATCGGCATTGGTTCCGTACCGTAAGCTAGCTGGTTCGTTCAACTTCACACCGTCACACAACCCTATGGACTACGCCGGTCTTAAATTTAACCCTGCCGATGGAGGGTGAGTCATAATATATATATATATATATATACATGTATATACATATATAAATGTATGTATGTATATATATGTATATATATATACGATATATATATCTACACACATATATATAATTGATAAATATATAGTAGTGTTGAGAGTGGATATATTGAATATGGATATGTGGTGGAGTGGATGGGATATGTATATATATATATATATATATATAGCAAATGGGCGCCTTAGAATATAAAGATATCTGGATGGCTCTCTACTTGCCACTCTCTCAGTGGCATTTCGATACGCACACGCCTGAAACACTTCAGTTGACTATCGGACAAGATGTTATGTACTTCAAATGCACAGACACGTAAGTACTTCATATGCACAGGCACGTAAGTACTTCGTATGCACAGACACGTAAGTACTACATATGCACAGGCACGTAAGTACTTCATATGCACAGGCACACAAGTAATTTTATATGCACGGACACATATGTGGTGGTGTACGCTCTTTCGTGTATTACAATCATAGACCAGAACCAATGTGATCGTTGTGCGTCTGCATGTGTGTGTGTGTAGGTACATCTTCGATCCGAAACAACAAGTGTCGTGTGCGCGCAAGGCCGCCAACGCTACCTGGTGTATGCTTGTACATGCACAAAAGCACACCGCCAATATACAGGTGCAGGTACTATCGTGTGACATACTCAGAGTGTCTATTTAACGTTCTATCCCGTCCTCCCTATTACTTCCCAGGCCAGCAGATGTGGATCTGACCTCCATCATCCAAGAGAAGGCTAACAACTACATGAAGGGTGGTGACTTCACACCCTCAACCGCAGACTTCACCTCACTAAAGACCGACATCGATGCCGCAAAGGAGTTTGCTGTGTTCATGGAGAAGAACGCTATCGTGTACGACATGGACAAGGTATGTGGTCGCGTTGTGATCCGTGTGTTTACGAATGTGTGCCACGCTCGTAGAGAGATCAGATTTAACTTGTACAGGCGTGTACGGTTATCGTTCAGCTATATGAGGCTTATATGGATGTGTTTATAATATGTGCGTTTATATACATGTGTCTTTATATACATGTGGGTTTATAACATGTGGGTTTATATACTTGTGTGTTCATACACATGGTTATTGATAAATATACCTGTGTTGTTACATGTATGCGTGTATTTGTGTCTCTGCGTGGTCAGGGTTTCAATTGTGGTGTCCTCTGATGTGGTCCTATCTGTGTGGTAGTACTTAACGTCTGTACTCACATGTAATCTGGTGCTCATCTCGCGCAAGGGTGCATCCTCTCACTTCCGTAGTTCGCAAATTCTAAAACCCTAACCCCCCCCCTCCTCTCTCTCCCTCTCTGACAACCCTATAACTTTAAACCCTAAACCCTAACCCCCAATCACTACCGCCCACACAGGTCCGCAGCTGGCTCAAGGAGAACAAGACGGACGTGTTCATTCTCATCGACAACATGCACGGATCTTCCCGCGGGTATCTGGAGGCGTCTCTGGGCGATGGGCTTACGCAGGAGCTGAAGGATGCGGGTGCTCTGAAGTTCATGAACACCGATACGGACTACTCGTTCCACGGCGTTAAACCCGAGCCCAGTGCCAAGAACAATGTAGGTGTCTTGTGTTGAGTTTAAGGACAATGTAGGTGAATTTTTTGGGTATAAGGACAATGTAGGTGTCTTATGTTGGGTTTAGGGACAATGTAGGTGTCTGTGTTGGGTTTAAGGACAATGTACGTGTCCGTGTTGGGTTTAAGGACAATGTACGTGTCCGTGTTGGGTTTATGAACGATCCAAGTCTGTGTGGTGTGTGTGAATCAGTGGGAGTGGTAGGTGTAGGGTCCCTAGCTGGTTGGCGTACAGTGTAGGTACTAAGTACTTAGCTTGGGTTTATAGGAGGCCAGAGGGCGTTGATGGATTGTCTATGCATACACTTACGTGAGCTTCCAGCAGTATGCACTGTTTGATTGTTTGAGCAGAGTTAGTCCGTTGTGTTGCTATGGTTACAGTGAGATAGGGCTTGGGCACAGAGATCAGGGGTAGTGACAGGAGCGTTATGATTCCACCACACGCTATTATGTATTCTATACGCACTCTCAGTGACCACGTACCCTCCTATACGCAAATCACGCACGTATATCTGTACTCAATCACATACATACACGTATACATATACACTTCCACACACACATACACACACAGGCACCCCTCATCAAAAAGCTCCAGGCCGCCAACAGGAAGTACACGCTGTGTGCTGCGCTCGACCCCGATGCCGATCGTGCACGCTTCGGAGACGCACACATGGACGTTGATATGAACCGCTTCGGAGCCATTGCATACGGATGCATTCTTGAACACGTTAAGAAGGGAGGCATTGCATCTACCGCCCCATCCAGGTGAGTGGTTGCGAAGTCTTTTGGGATGGATCGCACATGTGTGTGTGTATGGGCGTAGTTATGTTTGTATGGATTTCTGTAGGGAATGACATGACAGGTAAAGGGTTTATTGGGATGCATCGTGCACACACACATTTGTGTTTGTTGTCTTATATGTCTTATATGTATATTTTTTTGTTGTCTTATATGTGTGTTATGTGTGTACACATACAGATATGCACGCACATATCATACACATAGCTCACAACCAACACGAAAACCCTCGTCCCCACATCTGTCCCGCACTCTGTACGAATACAGTGACTTCGCACTTGAGATTGCGAAGAAGAATGGGCAGCGTGTAGACGAGTTGGCTGTAGGGTTTAAGGAGTTCCGCCCATCCCTCAACAGCGGTGGTGTGATCGAGTGCTTTGAGGAGAGCGACGGCATTTCATTTGCCGGCCACACCCTGGATAAGTGTGCTATGGCTGGGTGCATTATGGCTATCAACACACTTGTGCTTACAGGTGAGTCTTATTCACCATACAAGGTCTCTTTCCGTACCGTGTTCGCTATACAAGTGCTCTTACTGTACCGTGCTCGCTATACAAGCTCTCCTACTCTACCGTATGCATCATACGAGCTCTCATACTGCACCATATTGAGTATATATGCTCTTGCTCTCTCGTACGCTTCGTTCATTAGTTGCTGTATGCGTGCGTGTTGCTGATGCTGTCGTGGGCTATTCATAGTCTGTATTAGTCTCGCACACAGCACTTCTTGTCGATATCCTGAAAGGTGTCCTGAGGCTTGCGTGTGTTAGAATACAATGTCTAATGTGCTGTGCACTCCAAATTACTACCACGATTGGAATTTTTAGGGCGTGCAGATGTTGATAAACCCATAGAGCTGGTGTATATATATATATATACCTCTGTGTGTGTGTGTGTGCCAAATATATGTGTGTGTGCACGTGCATATACACAAAACATCAGCAAATGACAGTCCACTCACCCGTCTCCTCCATCGCTGCAGGCAAGAATCTCTCTGAACAGTACACGGAATTACAGAAGAAGTACGGCTACTTCTACCCAGACAAGGCCGGTGCTGATGTCAAGGGTGTGAGTGTGGAGGCTTGGCAGGCATACAAGGCCCAGGTTATGCAGGCTCTCCAGGTATGTGCGTGGGTGTTAGTTTGGCCAAACTGCTGGGAATGAACTCAATGTGTGTGTGCGTGTGTAGGCAGTCACACTGTGGGCAGGCCAATGGCTGTGTAAATCTGGTCTAGTAGGTTGAAGTATTGTAAACGCGGGATCTAATAAGCTACTGTATAATCAGGTTATATAAACTGAGTCCTGACCTCTGTCGTTGGCTCTCTCGTATCTGTATCCCACAGCACAAACTGTACAAAATGGGAGACAGCGTCACAATCGATGGCAAGGCAAAGGAGATCACCTCCATCAACATTATTGACGGCTTAAAGGTCATCTTTGCCGATCGCAGTTGGATCTTGCTTCGAGCGTCTGGAACAGAGCCCAAGTTCCGGTAAGCATCTAGTCTTTGTCGACAAATTGATCGTTTAATTATAGCGTGATATGTGGGTTGGTTGTGATATACGGACAGCTTCGAATCCGTTTCTTTTTGTGGGATTCCAGAGTGTTTGAACTTAATGTATTACCTAGATGCCAATTTCCAACAAACGTTTTTGTAGTTCTTGCCCCAATACAAATTCAACACCGATTCGTATATACACCATCCTCTAGCGTGTCCACTATGCACTATACACTCAAACGTGTGTGTACAAGTGCAGCGATGACTGCAATATTACACATTCACAAATTCATGTTTATCATGCGCATATGTTCATACCACACTGTTTTCATCAGTTACTACTACGAGGTTGTCAGCGACGAAGCGTTGCCAAACGACGGCAAAGCGGTACTGGATGCTTACTGCGACGCTGCGGCTGGTATCTTAACAGCCGCGAGAAAGATTGTTGACGGCAACTAGAGTGGAGTCGAACCTTTTAAAATAGGGTTGAACCTCTACACTTAAATAGAATTCTCAGGCGAGGTAGACTGTACTTGTGACCTTGTCGAAGGAAATAAAGTCTTGATAACAATTGTTGCTGGCGTACGTACAATTGAATAGTTGTATATTTGCGAGAGTAGCCAATGCTACCTGTATATTCTATTCTTGGTTCCTTCAGTGAATTTATTTGCCTCAGTCCATGAAGAGCATGAGTACGTGCTTCTAGCCACGGTAGAGTGAGGGAGGGGGAGACACAACGGGCCTATATATAATGAAAGCAACGACAATCACATCAAACCGTGATAGATAATTTAATCTTGTGACTGGGCAGATATGCAGAGAAATAACTGTAAATATGTGGAATTTCTATACCCCTGTATATTAAACTCTAGAGACGGACTCGTATTTTGCTTATAAATGAGTATCTTAGCGTTTGGGGCTGATTTTTTCGCTCCTCGAGTACGACTTACAGTGTGACCTGGCCCTAAGTTGATGCTCCCTACATGATTCTTCTCGATGCTATTCCGGACGTAGGCGATTGTATGGTGATACCTGCGTGATACTCTCGAAGAGTTGTAATCTGCCGCTACAAAAAGAGCTGCAGTTTAGAACTCTAATGATCAATTCCGATAGGACGCCACCGCGAAGCCTTTGCTGAGCAATAAACCGTTCTTGTCCCACAATGGTGGAAAGATGACCTTGCATGGCAAAGAGAGCAAACTGTATTTCGGGACGGTTCCCTGATAAGCGTAAACCTTCTCGTCAAAAGGCACTATGGTTCCTATGGAGTTCCACGCAAGAGGCCTGAAGGTGTTGTGTCGTAGCATGAATGTTGAAACGATTCTGTGTTCGTTTATCACCTCGCACAATCCACGCTCGTAGTATGAAGCTTTGTCGCAATGGCAGGCGACAAGCCTAGGCCAATAGGTGTACATCAGCTCCTCAATAGTTACCACCACGTGCCCTCTCACTTGCAGATCATCGGCACAAAGAATAGTCACAAACTGTTCGAGAGCTTTTTTCATAGAATTGCACACTGTGACTGCATCTCTTAGTGTATACTCTATTTGTTTTACGACATCGACCACCTTCAGTTCATTCTGGTTGCGCAACATTGGCGGCAACATCGCCTCGGCAAAATTTTGCATCCGCTCGGGGAAGAACTTCGGATGAGCCTTGTCAGTGACGCTTTGAACGTGTGCAATGGCGGAATGATTGCCAATCTGTGAGTCTGTATATATCAAGTCGTGTGTGTACATGTGCGTGGTGTTAGTCAGTATGTAGATGTTGAGTGGGTAGAAGTTGAGTGGGGTCCGAGGCACCACGGATATGTGCACTACTCACTTCTAAGTACGGATAGACAGACACACTCTGCTCATGTTCTTATTGATAGCTCAATCCGGCTAGTTCGTAAGAAACATTGTAAATTAAAATCATTTTTTCATATGATACTTACGCATGGCATTGTTTCCCTGTAGCAGTTCGCTTGCGATAAGTCTACCATTTTTCAACCGTTGTTTTTGCTCAGTCAAAGCGCGCTCGCTTTGGGTCACACACCGATTGTATTCTGCGATCTGCGAATTGGCAGCTAACTCGGCTTTAACCAGGTTTTGTCGCTGTGCTTGCAGAGATTTCCGATCGGCATCGAATTTGGCACGTTGACAGCGCAGCTGCTCATTTAGTTGCTTGACCTCGTTAGTGAGCCTAGATTCGGTCTCGCGATATTGCAAGTTGGCGTGATTTGCGGCGGCTTTACTGGTGTTGATGCGATCCATGGAGTGCTCGTTAATTGTGATCCCCTTTGCATGCCTAACTTGACACTCTTCATATTTGAGATTCAGAGAATATATAATCACCGTAAGTGCAAGAGAAATTGCTGCTTTGTAGTGAGATGTTTCAATCTGGTCTATTAAGAACGCACGAGAACTGTCAAAACAAATGCCCAGCAGTATGTACCAGTACAACCTACCGATTCTTTGCGTATCTGATCGCAAACTCTCTTCCATATAATCTGCAATATTTGAAAGTTGCTGTACATACAGTGCGCGGATTTCTACCCCTTCCGCCTCCATATTTTTCGATCTAAACCTAGTCAGTATTTGGTTTATAAAAAAATCCATATTGATACCGAGTGTGCGAGTGAGCGGACTACAATAGAATTGGTCTTGTTTATTTCCACAGGCAACCGTCGCCCATACCAGTCCAATCTGCACTTTTGCAACTAAAAGCGCGATTGTGGTACGGGTCTTCAACAAAGAGCAAATATCGTGGTATGCACATTTATAGCCAATATTAAGTTTGTGATGTTCGTACAGATTGTATTTTTTTTACCGAGTAGGACTATTATATTAAATGTTGGGTGCATGCATTCAGTAGTTATTGGCCTTCAAAATTTGTGAGTCTATTTCCTGCTCTCGTGTCAAAAATAGTACGTGATAAGCAGATCACATCACAAAGAGAGCGTTGTGTATCGCCCTATCGGACATGATATTTATTTTATCAATTTTGTATTTATCTATATTCTTTGACTAGGAGGCTTGGCAATCAATATATTTATATTAAACATGATCGTTCGGTGTTATTATAAGCATCACGATCATTAATGCCTACTTTCGGAATATCCAACTCAATTCCTTTACAAAATGATCTCAGCGCACAAAATCTGGGAATCAACAATTGTAATATTTCTTAGCTCAATCTTTTGACGCTCGTGAAGTCATAGGTGTATATTGAAACAAGGTTGCCACAGGGAAAAGCCCTAGTGGGCGCACAATTGATTAATGCTCGCGAAAATGCTCTCGGCGATTCATGAACTTATAATAGCACATATATCGAAACAACGAAAAGAAGACTTGAATATAACAATTTTGTATTCGGCAACGAATGAGCTATTCAGCGAAACAATATGGGCAATACCCTTTGACTTACCTACGTCCCCTACGGGTGGAAGGTAGGTTCTAAACGGGTACTTTATTTTATCAACTACAAAATTGCAGATAGGTTTTCGGATATCAGGTGGCGTGTACATGCATCCTCCATGCAAAGGTAAGACAGATTGATTCGTATTATAGGCCAAATTTTGATTTATACATATCCGCGTCATATAACATTTACATCGGTAGGCAGACAATGAACTACGTACCTGTGGATGTTTTGAGGCTTCTGATGCACTTATTGACTAATAATTGTCACACCCAGGTGCTAGAAATGTCAAGTATGTCATGTCTTCAAATTTTGTCACGGCACTTGCACATGCTTCACGCCCTTCGGCCACTAGGCACTTAGGCAGCCTCAGGTATGTAAATTTAAATATTTTACTATTATATGTATCAATTATCTGGAGTCAGAACTCAATAGTCAGGAGTTCGGAACTGTGAACCCGAGAGGGTGTCATCCTGATACCAGTCTTACCAGATACAATGATAAATACTGAATAAATACTATAGTCATAGACTGACTGAGCCCTCAGAGACAGCCCTGACAACTGACAAGTCACAAGTCACCAGTCACAAGAGGCTAAACAGTAAACACGAGTAAATAGAACAAAAATACATGTTCGTAATTATAATTGCACATAGTCTTTCTAGAGATTTACGCATATTATATTATAGTATAAAATATAATAAACCACCATTGTAGTGATTGTAGTTTGTACCATACATAAAACAATAAAGTATAAAGTATAAACAATTAAACATTGCATTTGTCATGTTTTTTTTTCCACGAGAGATCTCAGATCAGTGATCACCTTTCGGAAGAATCTAATTCGTAGTGCTCGAAATTGATTAACCAGTTATTTTGATCGGATAGGAAATAAACAAACAAAAAAACAGAATATAAAAAATACAAAATTCCATAGTATTGATTTTCATTGGTTGTATTTTAAAACAAAACGAAAAACAAAACAAAACAAACAAAAATGTCACATGTGTTCGTCGTTCGGTGAGTATGTAATTATGTATGCAAGAAAAACCTAAATATAAACTGATACGTTAACTAAATATTTAGCTGAGAAATGTGTCACGGTATGATGTGCTATTGTTGATTCTCCATTGTTTGAACAGCGACAATAGCCAAATTTAGAAACAGGAAATGGGGTATTAAACACACTGTTCGAGACTGACATCCTATTTATTTGAAGTCCATTGTCCCGTGGAAGTATTGTCAATTACATTAAGTATGTCATATAATATATGATTGAAGTGACAGTATCTTTCAAGAGATAATCACAAACCAGAGTTTCATCGTACAACTAAATGCTTCGCGATATAAATCAAGCGATGCAGTGTTTGTAGTTTTTTCTGCGACTGTGAACGCTCAGCAGTAGATTCAGATCATATAGGGCGTGGAGAAATGAACAGGACTGACCCTACGAGTTCAGCTTTCAATAATATGGGCGTCTTGCTATTCGCACTGATAATATTATCTTTTCTATCAGTGTCATGTGCACATGAGCGAGTAGAGCGGAAAGCCAATGAAGAAGATATTCAGCTCGGCAACGAATAGTAACCAATTTAAAACTAGAAATGGACGAGCTATGTTGTGGACAGGATTTCCATATAAACAGCGAGATGATAAAGAGTGGGGTAGCGATCAAAACATCCAAATTAGCAAAGGCAAGAGTTTTGCTGCATCTGACAGAAAAGCATATGGACACACACCTATACTCATCGCATGGGATGAGGATTTTTTAATTTCGGTCGCTTGTGTAGATAATGTGCGCAAGCCAAATGCAGCAGGCAAGTTGCGATGGTCTGGAGACACTGTCATTCTCACTATGAGTGGATGCGGAGAATATCGCTCGTGGTCCATGGGGAATGGCAAAGACTACTGGAATGCCTTACGCCTGTATGCGCTGTATATGAAGGATGAACACGGTTTAGCTTCCAGAAAATCACCTTCCTGGGCGTTGAAACCCTAGTATGTTAGCACATATCAAGAAAGAAATAACTTTAATGGTCCCTCTACGGAGGGTTGCGTATGTCTGCCATTTCCACATACGAGATTTTGGCGATTACAAGTTGATTTTGAATCTTCTCCTTCTTGCCAGTTTTACTTCTTCGCGATTTTTCTTTCAGCCTAAATCTCATCGTCGAATCAATGAGAGAGTACGTATGTGTACGCGATCATGAGTGTATGTATCCGTCTCAATACATCCACAACCCCACATATACGTCTGTTAATACTACTTTAAGTGGTTGTGGTTATGTCCATAACTTCTCGTGTCGAACTTGTGATTGTACTGACATTGTGATATTGAAATGATCATTTTGTCGTATCAGGTGGAGCACTTACCATTACAAGGAGAGCTTCACATACGCGGATATAAACAGATTGGTGCCGACCTTATTCCAGAAACTTGGCATCAAGAATGTACAGAATGGCTCAGGTGGCTGGGGTCAGTACGGTATGACATTTTTGCATATGTTCACTAGTATTTCTTGTTTTGAATCTTGCTTCGGTCACAAGCATGATTGGTACAGCCACACACGCTTGCGCGGATACATAACCACGCATCGTGTATAGAAGTGGTGCTAGCATAACTTTCAGGATAAGACATGCAGCGCAACGGCATCCGTACTTGGTTGAACAGTTGCGAAGGATTCCATATTATGTTGCAGAAAACAAGAACTATATATGTATATTTCTATAAACTTCGACGGCAATGATCGCTTTCTGTAGTTGTGTAGTACAGTCCTATGTCTCTGTACATAATCTAATAGTATAGAATGTAATCCTCTAATCTTATCGCCACCTTTGTCCCTGGTTTCTATATAGGTGGGGCATGGATACCAGGACTGTCAACCGCAAAAGGCTTGTCTCTGTCAATAAATTCAAGCAGTTCAATAAAACATTGAAAAGCGAGGTCCTGCGTACTATTGTTTGGGGTGCACTGATGGCCAACTGGGAAGATTCGCCAATATCCAGCACAGTGGGCTACTATAGTCCAGCAGGCTACAGTCCTATCTCCTCGCAAATATCTGATGATTACCTACTCAAAGGCAATAGCAAACTACAGCAACACGTGCGCGACACAGTTAAAATGCTCAAGGGCTGGGGTGTGCCTGGGTTGAAGGCCGACGATGTGAGTGAACTGACATATCGGGTGAAGGATACGGAGCAGCGAGAATGGACCAAGATTAACCATTCAATAACAAAAGAGAACAGTGATTTCGCTTACCTCAGATGTGCGTGTGGGTTGATGCAAGGGTTTATGAATAACATAGTGGGGATGAACTCTATTGTGACCAGCGACCCCACCGGTCAGCAACTGCGACATCGAATCAAGGCTATCAATGCGCTGAATCTGGGAGGTGCCGCTATACTCGGAGACTATATCGAAGTGAATACAGGTATGCGGAATGTGATGTCTTTTGTTCGCAAGTATGCAGAATGCGATGTCTTTTATTCGCAAAACAGAGCTATCTATATTTTTAGAACAATTTTGTCGTGCTTAATATCCTATCTTGGCAGCCAAACAATAACCTCGAACACCAGTGAACTTAGCCAGGCCTGTCATATTCAGTAATTAACTCTGAATCAGGGCACATAAGTAAGAAGCATTTCCAAGTCTGAGGCGGTATTTATCTTTGATGTACAGATGCAGAAGCGGATGGGCAAAGGAGCAGAGTCCAGGGGAGAGACCTCTACGATGCTTTACCAAATGGTTATCTGCAAAGTGTGATCGGATTAGGAGCTGTGTTGCAAACGAAGTGCTCGAGCACACAAGCACCCAAAAGTTACGAAGAGTGGTTTAAAAAGTATCATCAGTGGCAATTGAGTGATGCAACAAAAACCGCATGGAAGAATCATCAGTACTTGAGGTGGAAATCCGATGAGAAGTATGAAGTCAGCAGGGGTGATTTGCGGGTGGTCACCAAATTCAAGGATAGCAGGTATATAAGTACTACTGAGATGTAGATGGCGGTATTGAGAAGGTATATTATAGGTCTCGGTATCGAGTCTTTGGCTGGAATTAATGTTTATATAACATGTGACGTGCGTGCTCGACTGGGAAACACGCACTCGGGCCGTCATGAATCGACGGGTCAATCAACTGAAAACGAAATTAGTAATCACGAGTGAACATCGCCGCGGCACTAGTTAAAGCGTGTGTCTACGCTAGCGTGGAAAACGTCTGCGTTGGTATGTGATGGACACGGCGTACGATTTAACAAAGTAATTAGTTACGATGAGATTCAATAAAGGAAGATGCATTGTAATCCAACAGCGATACGAGTCGTATGCGTGCTACCGATTTCTTATTTATGTTGTCACGGTTGCACACCGATCCTACCGTCTATATGGTCGTACAACCGGAGTATGACGTCTCAATTCAACCACGTGAGTGGTATACACACTTGAGTGATATGTAACTGCCCACGTTGCAGTCGGCCAGAAACTCTGAGCACTCACACCCAGCTTCCGTATGTATTGGAATGGCTGGAAATTGAAGGAGCTGGACGGTGATGTGAGAAGGTGCCAGTCCACTGGCGATCTGTAGTATCAATATAATGCACACATGCACATCACACACAGATACCATATTGTTGTCTGCTGAAGAGTGTGCATATACACCACTGCCAGAACGCACGCACAACTATCACTATCTCCACCACACAATCGCATACACAGCTAATCGATATCGTAAGTTAGATTCCCGCTGGACTGGCGCACGTCTCGTCAGACCGTGTTAACAATTGTACAACTCGTGTATACTAAAGGCAGTCCACCGTTTTTTAAAGTTAAATTTATATACACAAGTTTGTGACTAGCCTGTTTAGAACTATAACAAAGCTATCTAGAGAGGTGATGTACCTCCGACTTTCCTCCTCCCATTGGTGGTTACCGCGCAAGTGGGGCGCAACTGTATACTGTAGCATTGATGGTCCCACCAGTACTACGCGAGGGCATGTTTGCCTACACCGCTTCTGTGCGGTTTAAGAGGTGCGTGAACGTCCAGGCGCAGTGCGTTGAGGCGGGTTGATCACCCACATGAGCTTCATTGGAGTGCGTATATCCCCGAGAGCATACATGTAAATACATCCCATGTGTTGGTAATGTCATGCGTGGTACCACGTACATAAGCGACAGGTGCACACAGTCCCATGCTCAGCCCGTCACAGCACTCTACCACTACCAAGACGAACGTTGCAACCGCCAAAGGCACAGTGAATGCAGAGACCGTACACAGCTACTCCAGAAAGGACAGAGGAGTGGGCTTGGGCATGCCATCCATAGACATCAGGTACTTAGTAACATTATAGTCTGGGTCTGCCCTGTACCGGTGGTTCGAGTATAAGCTGGCCTTGAGATTCTCCGCCGTGAGCGGGATCCGCGCGAGTTCACCTGTCTTGCTACTGTGCGAGTGTGAGCGTTTGCTGTGGTGCTTGCTGACCCCATGCTTTGACGCGCTCTTGCGTGCACCTGAGGTGTGTCCCTGTGCTGCGGCCGCCTCAGCCTTAGCCGTCGCGCGCGACTGTTTGGTCCCCGTGGGCGCAGCCCGCGCCGTGATGGGGGCGGCAGCGGTGGTGGTTGCCATGGGAACGGCCACCATGCTCACGCCCGCCCCAGTCCCGCCTGTGGGCGTGGGCAAATAAGCAGTAGGGGCCATCCACATCTGATTGGACCCCTGCGGTGACGCACTCACCTTGGTCCCCACCGTCACCGCTCGCCCGTGCTGGCCGACATATATGGGGTGTATGTACGCCCCACTGGCGGGCTTCATGCTCATGGTGCTGGTGTTGTTCGCGTAGTTGTTGGCCTGCATGGAGCTCGCGCCAAACACACTCGCGGGCTGTGCCTGTGTGGACAACGCCATCACTTGCGACGGGGCCTGGGTTGTCTGCGACTGAGATCGCACCGGCTGCACATACTGCACCTGATCGTCTTGGGCGCGAGCCATCACGTACCGCTTCTGCTGTGGTTGCTGCTGGTGTTGGTGCTGCATGGCGCTGGACACGCGCTTGTTATCCTTCGGCACGTTGAGCGGTGGGTTGGTCGGCTGCAGGAACGAGTGCTGCTCACCACCGCCGCTGTAGGTGCCCTGTCGGGGCGACAACAGGTCGGTACCCATGCTGGGGCTGAAGGAGTGTTTCTGCTGCTGCTGCTGCGTGTACTGTGGCTGGTCCGCTAGAGACGCCTGCCTGTTCATATTGTACATCACCTGCTTGTACACAATCGAGTTCGAGTTCGCCTGCGATAGGGGAGTGCCTGGATGCTGCTGCTGCTGCTGTTGTTGCTGCATGTTCTGTAGGGTATTGAGTGCGTTTGGGTTCAGTTGGTGTGGTCGAATGACGCTCCCCCGCTCATCCTCGTCCATCGCGGCTTCCGCCATGGACCGCTTGCGCCCGCGAGACAGGTTGAGATATTGCGGCTGCTGATCTTGTTGCAGCAACGGCTGATGTAGCTGCACACCCATCTGTGACAGTGAGCGTCGCATGCTCGACCCGTCATGTGCCTGCACCTGTTGTAAACCTCCGCCCTGGTTCGAGTACTGCCGCTGATAAGGCGACGCTGCCCGCTGACTCTGCTGCTGCTGCTGCGATTGCCCGTACATCACCGGTTGCTGTGGCTGGGTATTCATCTGCTGCAGCTGAGGCTGTTGTTGCACAGGCACATACGTTTGGGGCTGTTGCTGATACTCCTCTTCGCCCACGCCGTGCTGTCTGCGCGGCGCGCCAAAGCTCGCGGGCAGCGGCGCTGTCGCGTGCTTCCCGCTCTGCTGGTGCGTGTTCCGCCTGTGCAGCAGCGGCTGGATGTCGCCTGACCCGTACGTGCTCAGTTGTCGCTGAATAACCCCGCTATGCAGAGGACTGCCAGTGCCCCACAGCGCCTGTTCCAGCAGGTTGCGACTGCCCCTCTCCTCGGTCCTGTCGCTTGTGTTTCGGTCGGGCTTCTGGCTGTGTTGCTTGGCTTGCTGGTGTATGGGCTGCTGCACACCCCACGTGTCGCCGAACCCTTTGTTGTTATTATTGTTGTTCCGGTTGTTATGCGATGTCTGCCCACCCACGCCACGTGCTTGGTCCGTGCCCGGTGTAAACGTCTCCAAGGCCACACCGCCACCCCCGGTACCTGTACCGAACTGTGACTTCCGGCGGGGCGGGGCGGCACCAAAACTTATGGGCAGCGGTGCAGTAGACCGTTGACGCTCAAAGCCGAGCCCGTGCATCTGCTGCGGCTGTTCCTGTTGCAGCAGCTGCTCTGGCGATTTCTGGGTGTGCAGGTGCGAGTGCACCCCATGTCCATGTGCGCGTGACGACACTGCAGGTGTCCACACACGCGCCTCGGCACTGGGGCGGTACGCTCCTCCGGGCGACGATGAATCCTGACGCTGTAGCTGACCCAGTTGGCCCAGCTTTTGGCTGGTCAGCATAGCCGTTTGGCGCCCGGCCCCAGCCCCAGCTCCCACACCAACCCCACTGCCCTGGATATTCCCGAAGCTATCCCGCATGCCCCCTTCCTGCTTCTCGCGTTCCCGTGTCGACGGTGACAGAATATGCGGCTGCGGAGCGGCGTGGATTGGCGGTGTGCGTTCATAGTACTGTCCCACCGAGCCGCTGCTGGCGCCGGTTAGTCGGCGCGTGGCCGTCATGTGCGACGTGGGCTTGACCATGGGCACCGACGAGCGGTGGAACAGTTCGGTACTCAATTGGATGTCATCGCGGCCCATGCCGACGATGTTGGCGCTGCCACTGATGATGCTTCCTCCGCTCAAGTTCAACACGTCCACGTGCGCGTCCTTGTGCGTGTTTCCGCGCAGTTTCTTCTTGCTCTGTGGGTTGCCGCTGCCGTTGCCGTGGGTGTTGTGGCCACGTATGCGCGAGTGCGAGTGCGTATGCGCGTACACATGCGAGTTCTCCGCGGCGATCGCCGGCGTGATGATCACATTCGCACTGGGGTAGCCTGAGTGCACGTTTCCGTCTCCATTAGCGCCCCCACTCAACCCGTCTCTGGCCATGGGCACAACCGAACCATCTATGGCCCTCGCCCCCGACAACTTGACCAAAGCAATTCCGTCGTGGTCGTGCGCCTGCACAGCCACATCCGTCTCCGTATCCCTGTCGGTCTCCGTCTCCACAGCCGGCATTCCCATATCCGTGTGCAACGCACCGGGCGCCAAACCCCCAACACGCACGTGTCCGTCGCGGCCATCGCGCACACGCGCGTCCTGCTGGGATGTCTGGCGTCTGCTCAGCCCCTCTACGTCCAGTGCGCGCTCGCGTTCTTGTCTCTCGCGTATGATGCGGTGCTCGCGGTTGCGGTCGCGCTCGCGATGACCCTCTCTGTCGGTGTCCATCTCCGCATAGTCTGTGCGGCTGGCGCTGGCCACACGAGATTCAGCTGCCAGTGAGTCCCTATCGCGCTCTAAAACGCGTTCGCGTTCGCGTTCGTGTTCCCGCTCACGCTCACGTTCAAGGCCGCGCTGCCTGTCGAGTTCTAGTTCCCTCTCTCGCTCAGCCTTCACCACCCGTTCGCGTTCCAATCCAAGTAAGTGTTTACGCTCAACACCCCTCTTGCGCTCGCGCTTGATATCTTTGCCACGCTCGCGCCCACGCTCACGTTCGATTTCCACATCGCTAGGCCCGAATTCAGATGCCATATTGCCCTCTAATTGACCCCCCCCGCCTATCTGTCCTGCAGAAGTCACCGTGGTCGAGGGTGAAAGCGGTCGCGAGGGAATGTTCCCAGGGGCTGGGGAGAAAAAACTATTGATAGTCGGGGCGTACCCCGTTGCCAAGTGCGTGCTACCTACACTCTGCGCTATCCCGCCCGTATTCCGATGGCCCAAAGGGGATGGTGCCAGCATGTCGTGGTTCACATACATGGCACTGTTCCCACCCACGCTATACGCACCTGGGTGGCTGTGGTGTGGGCTTGGAGGCATCACACGCATGGTGTCGTGGCTGGAGGAGCGCCCCCCACTTATAGGCATGTGTGAGAGGGGACGTTGTTCTCGCCCCATATCACGCTCATGCTCGCGATCGCGCATGTCGCGGCTGTCCCGGACGCCGCTACACGCATGAAGATCGCGCGAGTCTCGGTCTCTGTCGCGGCCCCTCTCGTGCTCTCTTCCCCGCGCCACCTCGCGTTCCCGCGCACGCTCGCTTTCGCGTGCACTCTCGCGCTTCCTCTCGGCCTCCACGCCTCTCAGGTAGTCTGTGACCCCCGCAACATTCCCCAACGCGCCGCTGTCTTGCGCGCGGTTGAGTCGCTTGGTTGCCGGAGACATTGCCATACCTACAAGGTCGCCCGGGGGTGTCTGCGGGATGCTCACATTGGCTCCCTCCGCTCCCACCACCAGCATGCCATCCCCGCTTTCCGTCCCGGTATTCTTGCGGTCCAGAGTGTTGCTTCCCCCCAGCCCCAGCCCCCGGCCCAGGTCCAGGTCCCCATTACCCGACATGTCCACGTCTACACTGCCCTCCACCGCAGACACACCGTCCCCGCTGTCGTGCAGCATGTTATCGCTCTCCAACCCGCTGGAGTTGACCATCGCGCTCGAGTCCAGGGCCGTGGACACAATGGGTGGGCTGATGGGGTCCGTGCCAATGACGTGTGCACGCGAGTGCGACGCGTGCTGTGCCTCGTGCGATGCGATGATCAGGTCGCGTTCGCGGTGTTTCTCCCGTGTGCGCTCTCTGGTGGCCTCGCGCGCATTCGCTCGGTCCATGTCGCGGTTGCCCATGCTCAGCCCCATGCCGCTCATGCTATTAATAGGCGTGGGCGTCGACGACCACCGCCCCGCCAGCGACCCGGGATTGGGCGAGAGCGAGGCTGTGAGCAATCTACTCGGCGGAGCAGCTCCCAGATCTACTCCGCCTACTCTGCTCCCGTTAACGCCGGCTCCTCTGCTGCCGTTGCCATTGATCGAGCGCGAGGAAGGGCGAGGGGAATGTGTGGTGTGCGTGTGGTGTGAGTTGTGTGTGCGTGTGCGTGAGCTCTTGCTGGGGTCGTCCATCCCCCCGCGCGCGTCCACCATCATCGAGTCTTCGCCGCGCTGCACGGGTTCCGAACTTCCACTGCGGTGTCGCCCCAGCAACCCGTGGGCCCCCTCGCCCCCTCTGTCAATACTGTCGTCGCTCCCGTTGTTGTTGGCTCCGTTGTTGGCATCGATGTACCCCAGATTGCCGCCGCCGTTGTTGAGGTGTGTATGGCCGATAGCGCGTGAGGCCGCCAACACCTGGCTGACCTCGTCATTGGCGTCCTTATCCATCTCCGCATGCGTCGAGATAGCTTCCCCCCCATCGTCCATGCCTCTATTTGACATGTGCCGTGTCATGTCAGTAGGGCGTGCGCGGATAACCAAATCATCGCCCCTGCTAGAGGGGCGCGAGGCTATCCACACCTTCCCTGTGGTAGTCAGCGGTTGTATCAGCTGAGCGCCCGTCATGCCTTTAGGCTTGGACACATACACGTACTTGCTCTTGCCCTGGTTTTTGGACTTGGGGTTGTTGCTGCCGCCCCCGTTGCCCATTGCGCCGCTCTTTGGGTTTGAGTTGCTGATGCCACTGTTGTTGCTGTTCCTGTAGCTGTTCTGGTTGCTAGTCGCAGTGTTGTCGTTAAGGTCCTGATTTCCCACGCCCTGCCCCTCCGCACTGCCCGTGGCCGGGCTATCCATGCGCGAGTGGACATGTACATGCATAGACGTATTAGTCTTCCCCATATCCGTATCTTTGTCTCGACTGCGGGTCATGTTGTTGGTTTTGGTATTCGAACTCTTCGCATTGCTTTGGGCCGGCGACCCCGGAGGTGGGACTAACGCCGTCCCCATCCGTGCAAACGACAGGGGATTCAAAACTCTGTGTGCAAACAGACGATAAACTTAGTTTTTTCGCTAGGAATGATGGGTAATAATTTGGTACATAGTAATGGAATGGCAATTGATAGCTATCGGTAGCTCAGACGGGTGGCACTCACAGTTATGAGACATCTCTTATATTCCATTCCAGACTCGGAAACTCTGTCTTGCTGTCTCGGCGAAATATACACACACAAATACGAACATAGAGCACAGAACAAAAAGCCGCATGTGAGCAGATGCTGGTATGCACAGATAACCAGTTAAATAAACGAAATGCGTTCTAAACAAACATAAACATAAACATAGGCATAGACAATGATATAAATAGACATGAATGTAAACATAAACATAGACATGAATTATATATATATATATATATATATATATATATATATATAATGTAAATGTAACCATAAACATAAACATAAAACCAAACATAAATTATACATATATAAATAAATAAGTATAGATATATAGATATAAATATAAAAATAAAAATAAAAATAAATATAAATACATATATACATATATACATACACACACACGCACACACACACACACACACACACACACACACACACATATATATATATATATGTATANATATATATATATATATATATATATATGTATATATATATATATATGCCCATGATCACACAGCACTGCGAAAATGTTGGAGATAATAAATTTAAAGTAAAGTAGGATTCCTCTAAAATTACACCTATCACTACATAATGACATACGTATATCTATATATATATATTATTGCCGTAAGTGCCCTAATACATACAAATGCATGATGTCGTTCGACTGGCTCAATGCGAAAGTGAGTACAGAAGGTGTGGCTTTTCCCCAAAGACTTAAAGGATGAAAATACTTTACCAATCGCGCGGTACAGAGTACACGTCTGCTTACCCACACAGACTATACAGTGAGTGGAGTAGAAGATAAAACCCAGACACTGGTACAATTAAAAGAAAAGTATCTAACTGACACACCAAAGAAACGGTTAGAACTTCACTTACTGGCATATTTCCGGCCTGTTTGTGATCATTTCTCTAAACTGGTACGCCGATAAGTACCGCAGACGGCACGACGTTATTGTTCGAACGCTATACTGGAGGGGGTGGCCGTATGTCGCACACATGTTGCCTGTGCACGAATCAAGTAGAGGTCATGAGCGTGCGGGAGAAGAACGATGCCTATGTAGGATCAGTTAGCAGCTGGTGGTACAGCGCGCAGTCCGGTATTAAGTACGACTATAAGCGGGGGTATGCATAAGGATATATATATATATATATATATATGACATTCGGGTTGAGGAGGAAAATAAAAGGTATAATGTTGGAAAATTTACGCAGCATAGATCATCAGGATATGCAAAGATACAAAAGCAAACGAATTATGAAACGTGCGTACAAACGCTTGCAAAGAATATCCACGTACACCACTAAAGATTGAAGAAAGGTAGCTAAAATACACTGTAAAGTCTCATAACAAGTGTTTGTACTGTCATCGTTAAAAATAGTTCAAAGTGCGAATCCTAATCTAAACTATATATTTACATATATAAATATACATATATATATATATATGTATATATATATAAATATATATATATATATATATATAGTATGTATACATATATATATATATATATAATATATATATATATATATATATATATATATATATATATATATATATATATATATATATATATATATATATATATATATATATATATATATATAATTATATATATATATAT